CTACTACCCTTTCTATATCACTGTTACTGCTCCCACTGGGAGGTTATTCCAGGTATCTACTACCCTTTCTATATCACTGTTACTGCTCCCACTGGAAGGCTATTCCAGGTAACTACTACCCTTTCTATATCACTGTTACTGCTCCCACTGGAAAGCTATTCCAGTATCTACTATCTACCTACTGGAAGGCTATTCCAGGTATCTACTACCCTTTCTATATCGCTGTTACTGCTCCCACTGGAAGGCTATTCCAGGTATCTACTACCCTTTCTATATCGCTGTTACTGCTACTGGAAGGCTATTCCAGGTATTACTATATATCACTGTTACTGCTCCCACTGGAAAAGCTACTGCTCCCCAGGATAACTACCCTTTCTATATCACTGTACTGCTCCCACTGGAAGGCTATTCCAGGTTACTGCTCCCACTGGAAGGCTATTCCAGGTATCTACTACCCTTTCTATATCTGTACTGCTCCCACTTACAGGCTATATCACTGTATCTACTACCCTTTCTATATCACTGTTACTGCTCCCACTGGAAGGCTATTCCAGGTATCTACTACCCTTTCTATATCACTGTTACTGCTCCCACTGGAAGGCTATTCCAGGTATCTACTACCCTTTCTATATCACTGTTACTGCTCCCACTGGAAGGCTATTCCAGGTATCTACTACCCTTTCTATATCACTGTTACTGCTCCCACTGGAAGGCTATTCCAGGTATCTACTACCCTTTCTATATCACTGTTACTGCTCCCACTGGAAGGCTATTCCAGGTATCTACTACCCTTTCTATATCACTGTTACTGCTCCCACTGGAAGGCTATTCCAGGTATCTACTACCCTTTCTATATCACTGTTACTGCTCCCACTGGAAGGCTATTCCAGGTATCTACTACCCTTTCTATATCACTGTTACTGCTCCCACTGGAAGGCTATTCCAGGTATCTACTATTTCTAGTATTTTCTCATATTATCCCTATGTTTTCCCTAGTCCAATATTCATATTTTGTTTATTTCTAATTCTAATCAACATATTTGAAGGTATCTTTTATCCCCCCTCCAAGGATACTATTTAGACCATCTGGTCTCAAATTCCACAGAGATGGGGAGGGACACACACAGAATGTTTAATCCCAGAGGTCTCCCTCCCTGGCAGTCGTGGGGTCTCAACCCTTTTGCACCTGCGTGCCTACTGTCCTAGGGGCTAAAATATAGGTGTCAAACTATGAACAATGCTTCGTCATGCATGATCAGACAAATCTGCATCACTTTTCCTATCTGTTGCCATGATTTGCATTTCCTTCCCCTCTCGAGACATGATGTCCCATGCCCTTCTTTTTCAGCCATGTTATCTGTTACGTCTTTCTAGCTCTAATCTCTATATCAATCCATAATAGCTCCATTTTCCTTTTTATGCCATAATCTGTCAATTTCTACTTCAACTGCAATAATGTTTCCATTCCTACCTCTCCAGCCATGATATCTCCATCCCTACCCCTCTAGCCATGATATTGTCATCCCAATCCCTCCAGCCATGATGTCTCAATCCCAACTTCTCCAGTCATGATGTTTCCACCTCTACCTCTTCAGCCATGATATCTGTATTCCTACCTCCCCAACCACGAAGTGCCCATCCCTACCTCTCCAGTCATGATATCTCTATCACTACATCTACAATCATGATGTCTCTATCCCTACCTCTCAAGCCATGATATCTTCATCTCTACCTCCCCAGTCTTGTTAACTCCACCCATACCTCTCCAGCCATGATATCTCCAAATCTACCTCTTCAGCCATGTTATCTCCATCCATACCTCTCCAGCTATGATATCTCCATCCCTACCTCTCCAACAATGGTGTCTCCATCCCTACCTCTCCAGTTATGATGTTTCCATCCCTATCTCTCCAGCCATGTTATCTCCATCCATACCTCTCCAGCCATGATATTTCCATCCCTACCTCTCCAACAATGGTGTCTCCATCCCTACCTCTCCAGTTATGATGTTTCCATCCCTATCTCTCCAGCCATGTTATCTCCATCCCTACCTCTCCAACCATGGTATCTCTATCCAAACCTCTCCAGTCATGATGTCTCTACCCCTACCTCTAGAGCCATGATGTCTCCATCCCTACCTTTCCAACAATGTTCAACCCATACCTACCTCTACAGCCATGATGTCTCCATCTCTACCTCTCCAGCCATGTTTTCCCCATACCTTCCTCCCCAGCCATGATGTGTCCATCCCTACCTCTCCAGCCATGTTATCCCCATACCTTCCTCCCCAGCCATGATGTCTCCAACCCTACCTCTCCAGCATTGATATCTCCATCCCTACCTTTCCACTCATGTTATCCCCATACCCACCTCTCCAGTCTCCAGCCATGATATCTCCATCCCTCCCTTTCCAGCCATGTTATCCCCATACCTTCCTGTCTAGCCATGCTATCTCAATCCCTACTTTTCCAGCCACGATATCTGTATCCCTATCTTCCCAACCATGATGTCTCTATCACTACCTCTCCAATCATGATGTCTCCATCTCTACTTTTCCAGCCATGTTATCCCCATAACTACCTCTACAGCCATGATGTCTCCATCCTTACCTCCCCAGCCATGATGTGTCCATTCCTTCCTCTCCAGTCATGATGTCTCTATCAGTACCTCTCCAATCATGATGTCTCCATCCCTACCTTTCCAGCCATGTTATCCCCATAACTACCTCTACAGCCATGATGTCTCCATCCTTACCTCCCCAGCCATGATGTGTCCATTCCTTCCTCTCCAGTCATGATGTCTCTATCACTACCTCTCCAATCATGATGTCTCCATACCTACTTTTCCAGCCATGTTATCCCCATAACTACCTCTACAGCCATGATGTCTCCATCCTTACCTCCCCAGCCATGATGTGTCTATTCCTTCCTCTCCATCCAGGATTACGTCCACTTTCCTCTCTCTGAGATGCTATATTCAGGGCATTGTTTATTAATTGCTGAGGCATTTGACAGCAGATTTGACTTGTTCTGAATTTTCACAGCGTTCATTTTAAATCAAGTGTGAACCAGCAATCTATGCAATTAGCTGACAACCTAAATTAGGCTAAAGAAAACGAAATATTCATATTTCCTAATATTTTCCTATTGTAATGTCCTTTTCATATAGATTGGTTCTAAATGAGTATGGCACCAGTACAGTATAAATAAAGAAAGAATTTATAATGATGAATAAAAACCAGTCCATGTAATGATAATTAAACGGTTTATGTAAAAATGTCTCAATGTGGTTTATACTGGTAAATAAATAGGACATCAATTTGCCGTTTTTCTCTAAATGCGATATTTCTAAGTCTTAAAATTATTTATTACCAATATAATATATTGTCTATATAACACCAATGCCGATATAATATACTGTATATATAATATACTGCTAATATAACATAATGTCAATATAACACCAATGCCAATACAATATACTGTCTACATAATATACTGCTTCTATATTATACTGCCAATTTAACATACATGAGCCACAACATTAAACCCACTGACAGGTGAAGTGAATAACGTTGATTATATCATTACAATGATACCTATCAAGGGATGGGATATATTGGGCAGCAAGTGAACAGTCAGGTCTTGAATTTCATGTGTTTGAAGCTGGAAAAATGGACAAGAGAAAAGATCTGAGTGACTTTGACAAGAACCAAATAGTGATGGTTATACGTCTGGGTCAGAGCTTCTCCAAAGTCTTGTAGGGTGTTCCTGGTATGTATTGGTTAGTACCTACCATAAGTGGTGCAAGGAAGGTCAACCAGTGAACTGGCATCAGGGTCACGGGTGCCATATGATGCACATGGGTAGCGAAGGCTAGACTGTCTAGTCCAATCTCACAGAAGAGCTACTGTAGCTCTGATTGTTAAAAAAAACACAATGTTGGCTATGATATAAAGGTGTCAGGATACACAGTGCATCACATTTTGTAGCTATAACCCTGTCTACTGCCGAAAGCGCCTTTAATGGGGATGTGAGCATAAGAATGGAGCATTAGAAGAAGATTTCCTGGACTGATGAATCAAATATTCTTTTAGATCAGGTGGATGGCCGGGTGCATGTGCATCATTAACCTGGGGAAGAGATTGCAGTGGATGCACTATGGGAAGAAGGCAGTGTGACGAAGTGCCCTTCGCCACTTGTGCCTGGAGATTATGGTTCCTGGAAGGTCGGGCCCTTTAAATACAGTATTTGGGCATATTGTATTTTATTGTGCTGTTTCTGGCCATTTAAGTACTTTGGGAAAGGACCTGCAGTTTTGGCATGGCACTTCGGATGCAGCCAAAGTAGTCGAAGTGGCCGCCATTAGAGAACCGAACACGTGGCGGCGGCCATTTTAATTCATTGGAATGCAGTCAGCTGTGTGTGCCGTAAAACTCATGGAATTAAAATCGGCTACAGAACGGCACGAACACTGCTGAAGTTTTACCTTCCCTGGAACTAATGCATTCGACAGTTCATTCGACAGTTCATTCGACAGTTCATTCGACAATTCGAATGGTTGTCGTTCGTCTGTTTAAACTGACTTTAACATGGGAAATAGACCGGCTGCACAGCCTGATTCTCTGGAACTGTTTAGGGCATGAAAATGTCGGTCATAGAGGGACCTCCAGCTAACTGTTTAACCTCTGGATGGAATTGGCTGCATTTTGACTATGTTTGTAATTAAAGTGTGCTGAATAATAATATGTCATATGTTTTTATGAAGATTGAATGTATATTTTTAACCCCTTAAGGACACATGACATGTGTGACATGTCATGATTCCCTTTTATTTCAGAAGTTTGGTCAGTAAGGGGTTAAAGTTATTATACAGATAGCGGTATATTATACAGATAGCAGTATATTATACAGATAGGGGGATATTATACAGATAGGGGGATATTAGACAGATAGCGGTATATTATACAGATGGGGGATGTTATACAGATAAGGGGATATTATACAGGTAGGGGGATATTATACAGATAGCAGTATATTATACAGATAGCGGTATATTATACAGAAAGGGGCATATTATACAGATAGGGCATGTTATACAGAGAGGAGAGTATTATACAGATAGGGGGATATTATACAGATAGCGGTATATTATACAGATAGGGGGGTATTATACAGATAGGGGTATATTATACAGATAGCGGGATATTATACAGATAGGGGTATATTATACAGATAGCGGGATTTTATACAGATAGGGGTATATTATACAGATAGCGGGGATATTATACAGATAGCAGTATGTTATACAGAGAGAAGAGTATTATACAGATAGGGGATATTGTACAGATAGTGGTATATTATACAGATAGGGGGATGTTATACAGATAGCAGTATATTATACAGATAGGGGGATATTATACAGATAGCAGTATATTATACAGATAGGGGGATATTATACAGATAGGGGGATATTATACAGAAAGGGGTATATTATACAGATAGGGGATATTGTACAGATAGTGGTATATTATACAGATAGGGGGATATTATACAGATAGCAGTATATTATACAGATAGGGGGATATTATACAGATAGCAGTATATTATACAGATAGGGGGATATTATACAGATAGGGGGATATTATACAGAAAGGGGTATATTATACAGATAGGGGTATATTATACAGATAGCAGTATATTATACAGATAGGGGGATATTATACAGATAGCAGTATATTATACAGATAGGGGGATATTATACAGATAGCGGTATATTATACAGATAGGGGGATATTATACAGATAGCGGTATATTATACAGATAGGGGGATATTATACAGATAGCGGTATATTATACAGATAGGGGGATATTATACAGATAGGGGGATATTGTACAGATAGCAGTATATTATACAGATAGCAGTATATTATACAGATAGCGGTATATTATACAGATAGGGGGATATTATACAGATAGCAGTATATTATACAGATAGGGATAGCAGTATATTATACAGATAGGGGGATATTATACAGATAGGGGGATATTAAACAGATAGCGGTATATTATACAGATAGGGGGATATTATACAGATAGGGGGATATTATACAGATAGGGGGATATTATACAGATAGCAGTATATTATACTGATAGCAGTATATTATACAGATAGGGGGATATTATACAGATAGCAGTATATTATACAGATAGGGGGATATTATACAGATAGCAATATATTATACAGATAGGGGTATATTATACAGATAGGGGGATATTGTACAGATAGCAGTATATTATACAGATAGGGGGATATTATACAGATAGCAGTATATTATACAGATAGGGGGATATTAAACAGATAGCGGTATATTATACAGATAGGGGGATATTATACAGATAGCGGGATATTATACAGATAGGGGTATATTATACAGATAGGGGTATATTATACAGATAGGGGTATATTATACAGATAGGGGGATAGTATACAGATAGGGGGATAGTATACAGATAGGGGTATATTATACAGATAGCAGTATATTATACAGATAGGGGGATATTATACAGATAGCTGTATATTATACAGATAGGGGGATATTATACAGATAGGGGGATATTATACAGATAGCGGTATATTATACAGATAGGGGGATATTATACAGATAGCAGTATATTATACAGATAGGGGGATATTATACAGATAGCAGTATATTATACAGATAGGGGTATATTATACAGATAGGGGGATAGTATACAGATAGGGGTATATTATACAGATAGGGGGATAGTATACAGATAGGGGGATAGTATACAGATAGGGGTATATTATACAGATAGCAGTATATTATACAGATAGGGGGATATTATACAGATAGCTGTATATTATAAAGATAGGGGGATATTATACAGATAGCGGTATATTATACAGATAGGGGGATATTATACAGATAGCAGTATATTATACAGATAGGGGTATATTATACAGATAGGGGGATAGTATACAGATAGGGGTATATTATACAGATAGCAGTATATTATACAGATAGGGGGATATTATACAGATAGCTGTATATTATACAGATAGGGGTATATTATACAGATAGGGGGATATTATACAGATAGCGGTATATTATACAGATAGGGGGATATTATACAGATAGCAGTATATTATACAGATAGGGGGATATTATACAGATAGCAGTATATTATACAGATAGGGGGATATTATACAGATAGCAGTATATTATACAGATAGGGGGATATTGTACAGATAGCAGTATATTATACAGATAGCAGTATATTATACAGATAGCGGTATATTATACAGATAGCAGTATATTATACAGATAGCAGTATATTATACAGATAGCGGTATATTATACAGATAGGGGGATATTATACAGATAGCAGTATATTATACAGATAGTGGTATATTATACAGATAGGGGTATATTGTACGGATAGCAGTATATTATACAGATAGTGGTATATTATACAGATAGGGGGATATTATACAGATAGGGGGATATTGTACAGATAGCAGTATATTATACAGATAGCAGTATATTATACAGATAGCGGTATATTATACAGATAGGGGGATATTATACAGATAGCAGTATATTATACAGATATCAGTATATTATACAGATAGCAGTATATTATACAGATAGGGGGATATTATACAGATAGTGGTATATTATACAGATGGGGGATATTGTACAGATAGCAGTATATTATACAGATAGGGGTATATTATACGGATAGCAGTATATTATACAGTACCAAGCATTTCTATTGTCTGAGAGATTGGCCATCATCATACCTCCCAACATTTCACATAGGCAAAGAGGGACATGTTCATTTTATCGGTGTATTGGAGGTGTTGCCAGGGGCTGGGCTGTTCTCAGGACCAGAGTAAGGTCCCGTTGGGCCTGGTGCTGACAGTTACTATGGGCCTAATTACAAAATCTTAATGACAGAAACCACTAAAACTGTCACACCTCCAGGGGTCATGTATCTGGTGGAGGCGATGTCGGAGGAAAACTCACAAAATGCATTGATAAGAATACACATAACCTATGCTAATCTCTTGTTTGGGTGGGGGAATCACGCAGGCTGACAAACTGAGGGTGAACTATGCAGACAGAGCTGTTTCAGCGCCCTGAGCTTTGCATGAACACGTCTAATGATGTTCTCACTCTATGCTTTTTGGGTACAGCCCTCCTGGTGTCCCCCCACACTTGCTTGTCCTTTCCTTCTCTTATAGCTAGCTGGCAGAAGGTCCCGGTATACAATATGGGACCGAGAAAAGATGGATGTAGTGAGTGTAGACGAAATGGGGCATGTTGCAGTTGCGCAAGGATTTACACAGTGCATCTCTACCTTAACTTATTTCATTGTCAGTCAGTCCACACTGGTTTTGTTACTCTACAATAGACATGTGCAATTAGTTTCGTTCCGAATGTTAATTCGGCCGAATTTCGGGAAATTCGGATACGTCCGAACATCCGAATAGCTGAATTGCTGAATTGCTGAATTGCCAAAGTTCTGAATTGCTGAAGTCCCAAAGTTCCCAAATTGCCGAATTTCCAATGTGTCGAAGTTCCAAAGTTGCCAAAGTTCTGAAGTGTTGAAGTGCCGAAGTTCCGAAGCACAGTATTGCTGAAGTACTAATATAACTACCCAGTGGAAGAATGAAGAATGTTACACTGTATACAATTTTAAATAAAAAGTATACAAACATAGCCAGGATTCAGCTGTAAGCATTTGCAACACTTACAACAATCAAGTAACATACATTCATATAAAATAAAAGTTACTTAATAGCCAGTCAATGGAATGACAGGAATAAATAAGTAGATAACTCCCTAATTCCCACGGTATCTTTCAGATAAATTTACTAATACTAAGTAAAGATTAGGGGTATATTATATTATATATTTTACTCAGTATTAGTACATTTGGTTGAAAGACCAATTTAGGTCTTTCAGCCTTTTGGTAGATAACTCCCTAATACCGTGGGAATTAGGGAGTTATCTACTAAGCAGCTGCAAGAGAAGTGCCGAAGTCCCGAAATGCCAAAGTTCCGAAATTCCAAAGTGCCGAAGTTCCAAAGTTGCCGAAGTTCTGAAGTGCCGAAGTACCGAAGTTCCTAAGTGACGAAGTGCCGAACCGAAGTGCCGAATTGTCAAACTCCCGAATTTCGGAATGCCGAACCGAACTGAATATTTTCCCACTGCACATCCCTACTCTACAATCAAAAACACGTAAAGAGTAGTAAAAAAATATATTATTATTATTTGTTTTTTAAATCATTGGGTCTTTTCCATGGCAACGGGCCTGGAGCTGTAGTTTTTAACAAGAACCATGTATCTTATTTACACAGACTGACATCATTGCTCTATAGCGTTGCTTGCTCACGACACATGATGGTTATATTGCGTCACTGACACTGAGCGCACACATGCTCTCAGGACAAAAAGTGACAATTGTATAAATGAAAACATCTCTCACATTACGTTTATTCCTCTGAATAGTGTATTTAGTTTGTCTCGCTTTGTGTAACGTATTCTGCCATTCAGGTAAACACAGGATTATTGACTCAGATTACCTACAGATTTATGTATTTGTATCCATTAGTGTTTTTCTGAGTTTAAGGTTTTGTACTCTAATCAACGTGGCGTGTAAAATCTAAAATTCCCATATATTGTAGATTTTTCAAAATCAGTTATTTTAAATTGCGTTCTGCTAGTTGATGTTTGGTAAAATGAACCCTTGTTTTTTTCTTACAGGTAAATAGTGATGCAGAAAAAGGTTATAATAATTATTTATACATGGCAAACACATACACCGATGAATGAAAATTAAAAGTTAATGGAAAAAATAAAAAATAAATACAAAAATGAAATTATCAGTCAGTGCCTTGTCCATTGCGGATACTGGAACGCAAAGTAATTGCGCAGAACGCTATACATTCGTTATAATTGGAGCAATCAGTGTAACGAAACTCCCCGTACTCCGACCGAGTACCTTCCATTGATGGACGCTTCCTAGCTTGCACCGAGGACCACAAGCACCGCACCGGACAACACAACCACCGCAGACTCCACAACCGCCGTAGCTTAACTGGAATCTCGCCATTTTCCTTCCACCCTGGATCAACCTCTGACATCCAGGATCATGTGGGAGAGACCTCTGCGCCAGGAGAGCGTATCAGGAACAGCTCTTAGAAGAG